TAAAAAAAATGAAAAGGTTAAAAAACCCTAATTTCTACATATTTTATTAATTTAAGAAAATATTAAAGTTTTAAAACCTAAATTAACTAAGTTAATTGTTAGAGTTTATTTACAAAATAAATTAATTTAAATATTAATTAAACATATTTTAGTTTCTAATTTTTTTATTTATGAAAATTAATTTATGAAATTAAAGAAAACAATTAAAATAATTAATAGAATTAAGAAAGAAAAACAAATTAAAAATTAAAAATTGATGCAAACCATGGGGGGTATCAGGTCCATTTAGGAGGTTTTTTAGAAGTAATTTGGCCCATTAGACAAAAAGCATTGTTTGACTTTCTGGCATCACGTGCGTGTTCATTGACTCTTGAGTACCGTGGTCTGCATTCTTTGGCCATTGGATTGGGTTTCATGCATAAGTTGTTCTACTTTGGCCATTTGGCTTTTGGCTTTTGGCCATTTGTGTTCTGGCCTCAACGTTCCTTAATCTTCTCAGGATGTCTGTCTCGTCATGCATAAGTTGTTCTTTTTTGGCCATTTGGCTTTTGGCCATTTGTGTTCTGGCCTCAACGTTCCTTAATGAACCTGCATGGGATCCTGTCTAAATATGCAGTGTTGAATCTCATGAACACATTAAATAAAATCATAAAATGCAAATAAAGCCAATATATGAAGAAATTTAATGTTTAGGCACAATATGGTATGTATGAATGATTATACCCTTTTGATCATGGAGATCAAATCAATCTTACCCTTACTGGAAAAGTAGTGACATGAATACTTTTATGCCCTTTTGATCATGGAGATCAAGTCAGCCTTACCCTTACTGAAGAAGTAGTGAGATATTGGTTTGTAACTGTGATGGCTTGTTTGTAGTGAGAGAGGGATTTGTAATAAGAATTTCAAGGTTTTAGGATTCTTGAAAGAATTTGATATTCTAACAGTGTTGTGGCAAGGTTTTCTCTCTCTTTTTTTTCTCCTCTTTTTCTCCTCTCTGGTTTGTGTGAAAAGAAGGTGATTATATAATGGAAATTAGGGTAAAGAAAATGGGCTTTGAATGTGCAATTGGGCCTCCAATGTTCACTTGAGTTCGTCACTTTCTAGGCTAAATCACAGGGACTTAAGTGCAATTTTTGAAGTTGAAATATGAAAACAAAATGTAGCCGACATCGATAACTAACTCCTGTCCGAAAATCGGCTCAATCGGATAAACGGTGAATTAGTTATGAATTTTTGAAGTTTCAGCTCAGACAAACTTATTTTGGGCTCCAGTGTCGACTCTGACACGTTCTTCAATAAAAAACTGGTATTGATCGGAGCATAATCCGGTCTCGACTTTTGAAGCAAAGTTGTAGATCTATGAGTCAGTGACCTTGTGTAAAAATATGAGCCCAATCCGATAAAAATTGACCGAGTTATGAATTTTCGAAGTTTTGGCCCAGATGAAATAATATTCAGCATTCAGGATTTTCAGTGTGTCACGCACTCTGAGCAAAAAACGAAGGCCTTTTGAATACCATTTGAACTCAATACCTTATGTGAAAATGTAGCCAACTCAATTTGTGAAATTTTGGCGCCAGAACCAGCTCGATACGATGAAAATCGACCAAGTTATGATTTTCTGAACATGACGCAAATAAACTTCTGTCACAAATTTTCTGTGCGAAAATACTTGATAAATCCACATTTTTGAAGACCTTCTGATCGAAATTGGCTTCCATCCGTGAGAGATGAAAACATAGATAATGCCAAGACGGAATTTTGGCCACCGGAACGGGTTCAAAATGAGCCACGATCTTCAAGTTATGAATTTTTTAACGCGTAAAAACTGCACTTTCAGCACACTTTTTCACCATATTTCTTCGAGAAAACTTACACATTCGGATACCTTCTTTAAAGAATTAACTCTTGAGTCGAACCTGAATTTGAGAATACGTTATCAGAGATATCTTGGGGAAAGAACACCTGAATATGACGCGCCGGGTTGGACTTGTGAATTTTTCTTGAGATGTTTTGAGAAATATGGGAGGGCAAATTTTGGGGTACAACAGTTGCCCCTGTTCAATCTTCTTAAACCTGAGGATATAGATTGGCTTTCAGGCCTTTCGTGATCCGAAGGTGGAAGATGATTGAACATTAGAGTGCCCAGAAATTTGCACTCGCATAGTGGAGTATCAGCAATGTGATGTCGGGAATGGGCTTACAGATGCCATTTGGAAAGATGATGGATAGGAGGATGGGCTTATAGATGCCATCTGGAAGTGTGACAGAACCTTGTCGGGAATGGGTTTATAGACGACATTCGGAGGCTGTTGGTATGTGGATGGGCTTACAGATGCCATCTAGGTGTCGATCGCATAAGAGATTCCTTAACGAGAACTTGCGTACCTGAGAAAAGAAAGATAATTACCTGGCCTGTTACAGGAGTTGATCTTCAATTTCTTTATGTAGATGTGTCCTGGCTGGTTACAGGAACCAAATCTTTAAACTCTTCAGACGTGCCCTGGCAAGATACAGGAATCGAGTCCGGAGAATATAGTCATCAACAGATACACCCTGGCGAGATACAGGAATTGGATCTTCGAACTCTTCAGACGTGCCCTGGCAAGATACATGAATCGAGTCTGGTAATGTTAGTCGTCAACAGATACACCCTGGAAAGATACAGGAATCGGATCTTCGAACTCTTCAGACGTGCCCTGGCAAGATACAGGAATCGAGTCTGGTAATGTTAGGTTGGTGAGTTGTCTCTACTGACAGGTTATCCTCATGGACTAGTGGTCTTTAACGACGAGTGTCTATAACGACGAGTGTCTATAACGACGAGTGTCTATAACGACGAGTGTCTATAACGACGAGTGTCTATAACGACGAGTGTCTATGACGACGAGTGTCTATGACGACGAGTGTCTATGACGACGAGTGTCTATGACGACGAGTGTCTATGACGACGAGTGTCTATGACGACGAGTGTCTATGACGACGAGTGTCTATGACGACGAGTGTCTATGACGACGAGTGTCTATGACGACGAGTGTCTATGACGACGAGTGTCTATGACGACGAGTGTCTATGACGACGAGTGTCTATGACGACGAGTGTCTATGACGACGAGTGTCTATGACGACGAGTGTCTATGACGACGAGTGTCTATGACGACGAGTGTCTATGACGACGAGTGTCTATAACGACGAGTGTCTATAACGACGAGTTGTATCAGAGAAATCTTTAGGCATTGATTTAAATGGATTTGTATTCTTTGACTGGGTTGGCCTCTTTTGACTGTATTCGTCTACATAGCTGATCATTTAACTGTATCCTTCCTGAAAGGTAAAGGTCAGTCATATGCAATGCATGATATGAATCAAGCAATGATGTTCTCAACACATGAGATTGTATACATGTATCATGATGTATAACAATGTGATGTTTATGAATGTATCTTCGTCTGGGAAAATATATCCTTGACGGATGCCGGGAAGTCAAATCCTGGGCTGATGTTGAAGAGTGAGATTCTTCGTTTCCGTTGGGGATGATGATTGCAAGAATACCGGTAGGAGAAGATGACTCTGTTGGGGAATAAACTTGGCGAATAGATTACTCTGCGGGGAGGTAACTCTGTGGGGAAAGAGAGGTACTTTGCTGAGGTTGATGAGGATAACTCCGCTGGGGATACCGTTGTTGTGCTCTGTTGGAAGTTTTGATGAACTCCGCTGGGGAATAAGAAGAACCTTGCCGAGGACGATCTTTCCATGGCTTTTAGCTGAGGATAACCCAGTTATAAGCTCTGGTGGAGAAATAACCTTTGAATAAAACCGGGGAGACGCGTTCGCTCTGCAGGGAGTGAAGGTATCTTGGTCGCATTCTTCAGCTGAACTTACCTTGGCACTTCGGTGGACAGGGCAACCGGATCATTTAGACAACTCATTCACTACAAGAAAATTAGTGTTTAACGACACAAAAATTGTGACAGTTATGTGATAACTGTCGTAATTGACATATAGAGACAGTGTTTACGACAGTTGACACCAACCGTCCCTAATATTTATTTTGCGATGGTATAATTAACCATCATAATATTATTATTACGACGGTAAAACAACCGTCGGCCCCCATTTAACACTTTTAACATTGATTTTTCACCAACAACTAGTCACGACGGTAAAATTAACCGTCCTAAAAGGCATATCACGACGGTAAAGCACCCGTCGCACCCTTAAACCTTTCACGACAGTAAAATTATCCGTCCTAAAATTCATTTCACGACGGTAAAACAACCGTCGCACCCAAAACCTTTAAAAATTCTCATGGGCACGACGGTAAAACACCCGTCGCCGTAAAAAAGTTAAAAAGCTCTTCACTTTCTACTCCTGCGTTCACTTTTTCTACTCACGAAGAAAATACAAGAATTCTCGACCTAAGGTTCGTATGGGTCTTCCAAAGAAGAACCCTAAAGTTTTGAAACCCGCTTTCACCATTCCTCCCAAACTATTACAATCCCTTCGTTCGTCGGAAGAAGATGAGACCTCCCGGCGGAAGCAGCAACGTTCGTCGGCAACCGAAAGAGTCGGCCTACTTACCACCAAATCCACTAAACAGCCACCGTGACTCTGACGTGAGTTTAGCCAGTAGCCGTCCATCCTCCGTCGGAATCCATTCTCTCGGCGTTTACAAAGACCGTTCGTACCAACAGAACGCAACCGCAACCATCAATTCATTCCTGGCCTCTCAGGATTTGAATGTCTCTTTCAAACCTTTTTCCTCTCCTTCCGCTAAACACATTCACCAAACCCTAATCTTCCGCGTCGGGCTCAATAAATCTGTTCAGTCTTGTCAATGGAATACTGTGCGTGAAAAGGAAAAAACAAATTGGCGAGGATCACGTTGCTGACGCTGTTCTGCTCCTCTTAAATCTATGCCCTTTCCATCACTATTTCACAGAGGTTTGTTTGTGAATCGGAGTGCCAAACCAAATCACATTTCACATCATTCCAACCATGCAAGCAATGGGGTTATCAGTAGCAGTTTCAGTTCCATTTTACCATTCCAGATTATGCATCAACGCCTCTCCTCATCCACCCATTCCCCTCAATTTGAATCATGGCTTTTCCAAATCACTTACATTCAGGGACAGACTAACTCGTGGGAAGAGTAGCTATATCATTCGTTCCCAAAAGAATCGTGACGATGATGGTGATGTCGATGGATTTTACATGAGGAAAAGCGTTGAGCTCGCCAGAAAGGCTTTGGGGTGTACAAGCCCCAATCCTTTAGTTGGATGTGTTATTGTCAAAGATGGTCAAATTGTTGGCCAAGGTTTTCATCCTAAACCTGGTCAACCTCATGCTGAGGTGAGACTTGTTTCACACTCTTTGAATTCAAATCATCATTTTCGTGTCACTGCATTTCTATTTCTGAGATTTTTCAGGTGTTTGCTCTGAGAGATGCTGCTGATTTGGACGAGAATGCAACGGCGTATGTCACTTTAGAACCTTGTAATCATTTTGGGAGGACTCCGCCTTGCACTGAAGTTCTCATTAAAGCTAGACTTAAAAAGGTTGTTGTTGGGATGGTGGATCCAAATCCTATCGTGGCTTCCAAAGGGTTAGATAGATTGAGAGGTGCTGGAATTGAAGTTGTTGTTGGTGTTGAGGAAGAATTGTGTAAGGGCCTCAATGAGGGTTATATTCATCACATGTTGACCCAGAAGCCTCTGCTTACTTTGAGGTAATTCATTTTCATCTCTATTTTTACACATATACTCCAACTTGCTTTTCTCTAAACATTCATTTGGAGCTATTTCTGCATTACAGGTATTCTCTTTCTGTCAACGGAAAATTGTTGGACTCACTTGGGAATGGAGTAACTCACTCTGGTGGATACTATTCTAGGCTATTACAAGAATATGATGCAGTTATATTATCCTCTTCTTTATTCCGTGAAACTTTATCGGTCGACTCCGTACCTTCATCTCAAGAACCTGGAGCCAATCAACCCATTCGGTTTATAATGCATAGAGATCCTGGTTCTGGTTCTTCAAATCAAATTCCATTTATAATCGATAACGTTACTGATAAAATGATAATCTTTACAGATTGTATAACAACAGCTCCCGAGGAGACTCAACAAGGAATTAAAACTGTATCTGTGGATCAAATAAATCTTGATGTGATCTTGGATTATTGTAATCGTCAAGGATTGTGCAGTGTTCTGTTAGATATGAGAGGGAATTTCAGTGAATATCAAGAGCTTGTTAAAGAGGATATTAGGAAGAAGTATATCAATAAATTTGTGACAGAAATTTTGCAATAAACTCAATAAATCTGTTCTCAAATCCCCCGATGCACCTCATCAATGGCCTTCCATTCTCGCCCTCATTCATTGGCTTGTTCAGTCTTGTCAAATTCATCTCTCTTTTTCTTCTCCCTCCCACACCACCACCCTCCAAAGCAACAACATCGTCTTCCAGTATTCTCTCAACGCTTATCTAAATTTCATTAGAGGTGACGATGAAGCCATCTCCGAACTCGACCACGAAATCCGCACCAAGATTCTCCGTGAGAAGTCTAACGCTGACAACACCCTTGCTGCCGCTGAACAAAAGGTCTCTGAATTGGAGGCTCAATTGGAGGGATTGAGGTCTGCTCCTTCTCAGAAGGATTTACTCGACAAAGAGAAGGAAATGCTTCAAGGCGATGTCATTAAGTTTCACAAGATTATTGACGAGTTTGGGTTGCGGATTGAGTTGAAAGAGAGGGATTTGGTGGATAAGGAGGAACAGTTAATAATTGGGAACATGGCCTAAATACAAAGAACTAGCTTTCTTGTTATTTTCTTTTCTTCTGATATATGATATAGTAGTACATGATAAGCTTGGTAGACTCTGCTGTTAGTAATTGGTTTAATCTATTTAATGACTCAGTTATTTATTTTGCCTTGCCTGTGTTAAATACTTGAGTAGAGGCCAGAGAATAAGCTTGGAGATGATGAAACGTGGGATAGGGCTGAAAGTGCTCTCAAGGAGGCTTTGGATGAGTGTGGCAAAGGGAATGTGTTTGTTAAGGTATGTTATAGGGTTTATAGGTTTGATGTGAATTGTGAAATGCTTAAATGGTGATATTCTGTTTTCTTTTTATGTTTGATGTGAATTCTAATGGAAACTTTGTGGTGTTAATGTTATTATAGAACTTAGCGAAATCGATAGATAATGTGGGACTGCATGATTTATTTCAAGAATATGGGAATATTTTGTCTAGCAAAATTGTCATCTCTGAAGATGGGAAGAGCAAAGGGTTTGGTTATATACAGTTTGGTTCAGAGGAGTCTGCAAATGATGCTATCCAGAAAATGAATGGCTCTACTGTGAGAGATAAGTAGATGTATGTGAAATTGTTTTAGAATTTGTTAAAATTTTCCTTCAGTTCCATATGTATGTTTTCTCTTTTGAATTTGTTAATTGCTCTTTTAGTTATCTTAAGATTGGTTTTGATAATCTGATTCCATTTCTTCTCACAGATATGTTGGGAAATTTATCAGAAAAAGTGAGCGCTCTTTGCCTGAACCTGATGCCAAATATACAAACTTGTACGTTAAGAATTTGGACCCAGATATTACCGAAGCACTTCTTAAAGAAAAGTTCTCATCTTTTGGAAAAATTCTTAGCTTGGCTATTGTAAAGGATGAGAAGGGGTTGTCAAAAGGTTTTGGATTTATGAACTATGAAAACCCGGATGATGCAAGACGAGCAACAGAAGCAATGAATGGATCACAATTTGGTAATTTACTTATCTTTTTAGTACATAGGTCTTTTATGCTCAAAGTTGCACTTTTCTGGATGTTGATTCTCTGTGTATATCTGGTTTTGATTTGTCATAACTAGGTTCAAAGAACCTGTATGTTGCAAGAGCACAAAAAAAGGTTGAACGTGAAAAGATCTTGCATCAGTGGTTTGCAGAAAGATGCATGGAGAAAAACTTGAAATACAAGGTAATTCCATACCCTTTTTCCTATAGTTGATTAATTAATTTCAGCTTTCTTAGTTTGCCACCATTTTAACTTTCAGGGATCAAACATTTATGTGAAGAACATTGATGATAGTGTTAGTGACGAAGAACTAAAGAGTCAGTTTGTGCAAATCAACAAAGAGAATCGCAAGCAGCTTCCTTATCAAATTACAGGTGCACAATTTTAGTCTGAGTTATTTAGTACCATTGCATTACCTAATGTAGTTGCGTTGCTCTAATTTCAGAGAATACAAATTCACAAATTTTCTTACAATACTAATCAATCTTGTTAATAGTTAGTATTTTTCCCATTCTAGATGCTAGCCCACTTGCCTTATTTTCAATCTTAGTGGTCATAGAAGGCTTATGCAGTTCCGTTACCAAAGTTCAACTTGGATGTTTTTTCCATTCTTCAGTTCACTAGCCTGACTTTGGCAATCACATATGTTGTGGACAGTCTCCTGCTGTCAATCTCAGTTAGAGTCCAATTGTCTGAGGGTGCAGTCTCCCAAAGGACAGAATAAATGATTGGACTCAACAAGCAGATCTGATGTCTGCAATTTGTTTGATTAGTAGATATTTTGACACAGTGAAGATGATTATGAAGTACTTGTAGAGCTTGGCATACCGTACCACACAAGTGAAAAGGAAGATCTGATAGAGTTAAATAATATTCATGATAGAAATATCATATCTGGTCATATACTAAATCTTGGCATTGGAACCATTTTTGCCCCCAAATCTCCTAACAAGATCAAACTCAAGTATTACCTGCACGATTCGACTTCAACTTTATTTCAAAATCTAATATTGAAGTTATATTAGTATCATACTCAATTTCTAATTACTTGTCTATAAACATGACTTACATGCATTTTAGAGCTTCAAAGTTATCATCACAACCTGATATTTTGTCTTGTACACTTGATCATGCTGATTAGGGTGATGCGCTGCACGGTTAGTTTCTATTTTTTTGAAGATAATGAGTGAATTGTTATTATGGATGAGTGTTTCACAAACATAGTCTTGAATAGAGTTGATTAGGTTTGAGTTTGAATTGAAGTTATATGATTTGTGCCAAATTATCAGTAATGGTTAAACACCAAATACATGATATGATTTACTCTATGTGGAATAGGAAGTTATATTGTTTGTAATATCCTTAGGCAGATATGCAATTTAGAAACATAAACAAATAAAATATTGATTGCTTTTTATTTTGTGTTCCGTGGCTGAAAGAAACTCTGTTGTCGCTTTCAATTATGCAGGCATGGTTAAACCATCCAAGCTTTTAACATGCTTCCAGTGGGGTGCCTTGATGGTGGCAGGTCTGTGCAGGTAAATTACATTGCTTTAGGTAGATTTAATATTGGAGGATGCATTTTTTTAATTACTTCCTTAAAATGTTGTAAAGTTCAAAGCATGAAGTAGATAATGTAGAAAATAGAGCATTTAGTAATTATCAATATGGAGTTGTTCGCTTTGCCTTATGATGATTGGTAGAAACAATTCACTGAAAGGTTTTTGTTTTTCTACATAAATGTTACTTATTGATTATTTAAATTGATGTTATATGCCACAGGACGCATGTTTCACGGAAAACCACTGTATGTTGCTTTTGCTCAGAGGAAAGATGTTAGGCAAAGCCTATTGCAGCTCCAGCATTCACACTGGTGTTGTTTATCATCACCCTAAGGGTTCTACAACATTTTATCATCATTCATCGGGTTCTATTGTGAGTGACAAATTTGCATAATAACTAGATAAAAGGAGTTCATCATAGGAAATTGAACTCTTAATGCAAATGCATAATTTTAGTGGAAGACATGTATATTATTTTGACGCATTTAAAGTTAAATTTTATGAGTATTATTTTAAAGATTATTATTTTAATACCTTTTTTTAGGGATTGGAATCACCCGCTGATGGTAGACGTTCATCTGAGTCTAGCTACCGTATTGGAGATAATGGAACTTCAGGGGGGACAAATTAGAGTTTGCTATGATCGAGATAATTAGATTGTGAACTTTCTCATGTATTTTTGGCATAATGATACTTATTATTATAAGATTAGGAATTGATATATTTTGGGTTTTTTGTACTACTTGACATGATTATGGAACTCGCAATTTACATGATTATGGAACACACATTTTTTTGGATATTATAATGCTTATTTGATGTTAAATATTTTTTATTGAAATTATTTTTACTATATTACAAAGTGATAGAAAATAAAATAAAAAATAATACTATAAATAAATATATTAAAGAAGAAATAATTTAAAGAAAAAAATAACACAAAAAAAAACTATATTTAAAATTTTTTACATAGATAATAATTTAAATAAAAAATATATATAATAGAAAAATAAAAAAAAATCAAGACATAAACAAAAGTCACGGCGACAGTACCGAACCGTCGTAATCAACAATTAAAAATAATCAACAAAAGTCATGACAGTATCGAACCGTCGCCATAAACAATTTAATCAATTTCAAAAGATATTCACGACAGTATCGAACCGTCGCCATCAATAATTAAAAGAAACTCAAAAGATAGTCACAACGGTATCAAACAGTCACCAATACTTGATTATGTCAGCTCCAAACCCGTCGTAAACTTGAACGACAGTTTTTGTAACCGTCGCAAAATAGGTTGGGGACACACACTTCTGCGACGGTAAAGCAACCGTCGTGGAAAGCAAATTGCGACGGTTTTAACCGTCGTAATCTACAAAAATACATGTCGCAATCTGCCAATTTTCTTGTAGTGATTATTGCCCCAGTTTCTGTTGGAGAAGAAGGTACTTGTGAAGGTGTTTGATGACTGCTGATTGACAAATCTTCTTCTGGTAGGCAAGTGACGAGATGACAGGACATAGTCGTACGCTTTGATCCCTAACTTTTGCCTGGACCGCCCTTTCGGGTTTTCAGTCCACCGGGATACCCATTTTTGCCCAAGCCGCCTTTTCAGGTTTTCGACTTGCCGGGTATACAGATTTTTTTCATTTCATCCCTCATTTTTGCCCGAACCCTTTTGGTTCGCCGGGAAGCCCTTATTTTTGCCTAGGTGTGTCAACCTAGCGGGTCTTTGATTACGCGTAGTATTTTTTCCGACTATGTCCATGCTCTCAGGATGTAGGGAGGTGCCCCTGTTGTTGTGTTGCCATGTGACCCGAAGATCTTTGTTTGATCAGGCAGGATTCGTAGCTGGAAATCGTGTCCAATGCCCCAAGTGATCTAGATGGAGATTTGCCCCAGGCTAGTTGGCCTTTTGAGAGATTCTCCGAATCTTGACTTAACTGCCCCAGATGATGGACCAGGATCAGGCCATGCCCCTTTATTGGAAGTACTTTTGTTCATTAGATATTCTTCGTGCGAACTTCTATGCTGTTCAAACAAAAAGTCATATGTAAACAATGTTATTTTAAAAATGCCAAGCTTATGTCTGTCTTGAAGTTTTGAAAATGCATTTTTTCATAAAACAAGTGAGATTTTTTTGTAAACTGTGATGCCAACTCGTTATTTTACTGCGAGCCTTAAGGAGTCAGGATACCTTTGTAACATTATGCTTTCGAACTAACCCATGCTTCAGCTAGGACTTTTAAGGGTTATAACGTGGCCTGGTTCACGGTTTAAGAAACAAAGGATAAAGGCTCAAATTATTTGTACCCACCTGCTCTTCGTGATGTTCTTCAAACCTAAACTCAACTGATCGTGCGTTAGACCTTATTTGAGTCTTTGCTTTGATATTCCGGTGATGGTTCGGATATTGACAGTTTATTTGGAATAGGCAGTCATTTCTTTTTTTGTTGAGGGCCTGTAGGACCTCTTTCTTTTTTGATTTTGTTATCCCTGTTTTTTGCCTGAACTGTTTCTTTTGTGATTATAGTCAGCGGGATGCCCCAGTTTTGTAAGTCTCCTTCATAGGTTTTGACTTAATGGGTTTTTATTTTGAGAAGTAATGATTGTCTGTCTTTATGATTGTTCGGGACCATCACTGTCTTTCTTTGTTTTGTAAGGACCTCTTTGGTGTCATTCGTTATGCACTTGGATCAACTGAGAGAACTACCCTGCCCCAGGTTATGATTAAGGGTTTTAATTTTTGAAAAGAAAAACTCCTACTTCTTTGGCTCGAAGGGGTTGATGAGGGATTATCTTCCTTATAACTCCAGTGTTTAGGAATTGAAACAATGCCTGTACCTCATCAGTGGGGTCTGTTCAAAAGCATACTGTAGATTATGGTATCGTTTTTGTCATCCTCCCTCAAGAGGCTTAGAATTTTCGATCAAGAGTTTATCATCACAAAAATATGAAAACAGTTTGCATATAGTGAATACGAAATAATTACTTCAAAACATACATGTGTAATGCATTAATGAAATAACCAAGTTTGACATGAAATAAAATGTTTGAACAATCGAAGAAAAATACAATCTTGAACATTCAAATGAACAAAAGTTTCCAATCCTAGCCATGTTTGGGCAGGGGAGCAGTGGTCACATTGGGAGCCTCTGGAGAGTCGAGCTGGACTTCCTTTGCGTCAATCAGATCCTGAACCTTGTTTCTCAAAGTCCAACAATCATCTGTAGCATGCCCCAGGCTGTCAGAATGATAAGCGCAGCGAACGTTGGGGTTATACCTTGAAGGCGTCCTGTTGGGATTCTTTGGAGGGTCCATGAGAGTTACCAACTTGGTTTCCAGCAACTGTGGCAATATCTGTGACAAGGTCATGCCGAGGGGAGTGAATTGCCTTTTGGGTCTCTCTTCCCTTTGCTGATTATGACACTGAGGAGCGTCGGCCGGTTTTGCAATAACCACCGCGTTGACATCTTGGCGGTGCTCGGACCTATTCTGCCCTCTTGAGCCATAGACAACACTAGATTCTCTCTTGGATGGTTTCTTCTCAGTGTTCGAGGAGTCACCATTCTGTATTTTCCCTGACTTGATGCCAACTTCTATTCTTTCCCCGGTCAAGACCAAATCTGAAAACCCAGCAGCAGAATTCCCAATCAGGTGGTTGAAGAATGGACTAGACAGGGTCCCCAAGAACATGTCGACAAGCTCGCGGTCAGTTAGAGGTGGTTGTACCCTTCCAGCAAGGTCCCTACATTTTTGAGCATACTCTTTAAAGCCCTCGCCTGTACCCATAGACATTCCCTGGAGCTGAGTGCGCGTGGGAGCAAGGTCAGCATTATACTGGTATTGCTTGTAAAATGCAGTGGCTAAGTCTTCCCAGGTACGGATGTTGGCTCCATTCAGTTGATCGAACCACTCGAGCTGAGTCCCTGAAAGACTCTCCTGGAAGAAATGGATCCATAAGTTCTTGTCAGCCGTGTAGGGTTGAATCCTCCTCATGTATGACCTGAGATGCAGCTTTGGACAGGATGCCCTGTCGTACTTTGCAAAGGCAGGTGCCTTGAATTTTTGCGGGATCACTACCCCAGAAGACAGACCTAGATCTTCGAAGTCCAGGCCGGGCACTTTTTGCATCTCCATGGCACTTAGCCGGTCTTCCAACTGTTTATACCTGTCCTCAGCTGGAGGGTACTGCTCATCATTGTAATCGGTCTCGTTGTCGGAGACCACTAGACTAGGAACCTCCCTTTCTTGGGGGCTGTCTTTCCCAACAGATGGGGTGGTCTGCTCAACTTCATTTCGTGATCCATTCCCAGATTTGCGTCTAGGGTTGAACAACACCGTCCTCTTCTTCTTCTTTTTCAAAAGCAGGGTCTTCAGATCTTGTTGCCCCTGGGAAAAACTCATGATCAACTCTTGGAATTGGGCATCCTGGGCCTGGAGGGCCTTGATGGATTGCTCGGTAGATGATTCAGGATTCATGACGATCGGCTGAAATAAACAGCGAAGAAGGTAAGTGACATGTCAAAAGGGTACCTGTAATGCAATGATGTGTATGTATGCATGCAATGTTTTCAAGGATCTCGCGGGGTAGACAAGAAAATTTGTTAGAATTTGAATCCGGTAGCTTGATCGAAGTAACTTCATGTTGATAAGAGTCCCTCTTCAAGAGTCAAGGCTCACCATATCGAGTGAGTCATAGCCCCTGACAACCTTGTCTAGAGGAAAATAAATCCCCTTTGCCCCTTGCTGGACAGTTGGTTCATCATGACCTGCATCACAAGCCCTTGAGATCCTTGAAATGGGTTAGTCTTTATGCAGGATGCATGCAATGGTATGATGTTATGCTATGCATGGGGTAATGTAGGTAGCCCTGTTATGAGTCCCGATTAAGGACTGTAAACAAAACCTGCAAGAAACTCAAGTGTCAGATAACAAGCATGCAAGTAGTCAAGTTGGAAGGCACACAAGTCACACAAGAGAAACCCTTAGAGTTTAGGCCAGCATGGGGTTTAGGTATTACCCTCTTGAAGTTGGTGGGCTCAACCTGTCCTATCAGAAGTAACCAGGTTCTAAGGGTCCCAATATCACTGGATTGCTTTCATTGTTCATCGTTTCGATTTAGCCACTGAACTGGCGACCGAAATATTCCAAGAAAACAACCCTCAATTGAGTGTAGTATCGAGTATCAACCAACCTCGGACTGCACCAAAGTCAGTTATCTCACTACCCTAAAGAGGCCAAGATGGTTCAATTAAGGTTCCTAAGGTCAGTTGATGCTTCACGACACCACGCGGCGGCCCCGTACTCTCCTTGACTGAACTCAAGGGTTACCGGTACACACCAAAGTGCCACATCAACGTAGCAGACTGCTTCAACCATGTCGGTATACCCCGCACAATTCCCTCACAGCCTTGTTGCTACTTTCTAAGAAGGTATCCCCCAGATCCGGGTTAGGATCTATAGAACTCCTAAGACAGGCCCACAATTTAAAGCAAACAATTCAGACAATTGAAAACACAAGTGATCTTAGTCCTAAGGTACACCTCACTTTAAAAGAAGTCCCCAGCAGAGTCGCCAGTTCTGTGATCGGTGGATCTGGAACTGACTGTTTAACGCTGGTTCGCGAAA